CATTCCAACTCCACTACAAATTATCTATTCTTTCCCTTCTTTTCTTACTAAATTTTCAAACTTTATCACTATTTTATCTATTCTTCCATAATCATCCATACAACTTTCTAAAAGTTGAGGTATGTTTTCTTAGAACAATTCTTTATAATATTTTTAATTTTTACAATATGGAATGCATATTTCTTTTTTAAACAAGGTATTTGTATTTTTAACCATTTTATTGTAGTATGAATAGATAGAAGTTCATTGATATTTTTTTGAAGCATAATGCATGACTCTAAGAGAGAAATAGCGGGTCCTAGATCGGGAGACTTTCTTACCTTACAAATGAAACATCGTTCACATAAAGTGTGGCATGACCCAAAGTTTATAGATAATAGAGTTTCTCCGATTCGCTACGAAGGAAGTCTTACAACGGTTTTTCAAGATGATAGAGTCTATAATATGTTGCACTGACGAGGGTTTTATGGAATGCACCGTGTTCAACCTATCTCATTAGACTATGGTCTAATCACTGCTCTTATGGAGCGTTGGATACCGGAGTTACATGCATTTCAATTTTCTTTTGGTGAGATGAGTATCACCCTACAAGACGTGGAATGCTTGATAGGACTTCCGATCAATGGACTTCCAGTCATGGGTTTTGATTTAACTATTGAGGAACAAAATACCTTATTTAGAGATGTACTGATTTGGACCACCAAGGATAACCATTTTGGTCATTATTTCTGGATTCTTTGGGGAGAAGATTGTAGAGGAAGTTATTGACAACCCTGACTTTGATGATGATGAATAGGACATACCTTCGGATGACGATATTGACACTAAAGAGCATTGGATTCATGAAATGGAAGCTGAAGCTGGTAAACGAGGAATTCCTTACACCCCAATGTCCTTCTTGCAGTTGGTATGACCATTCCCAATTATGAATCATTTAAAGATGTAGTTACAAAACAATGTGTGGCAAACAACCATTTTTATCAAAACGAATACAAAAAGGCGTGATCAAGGGCAATGTCGGTGTTGGTATTATGACAAAAGCCCACCCTGTTTTTGGCGTGTTCAAGCAAAAAGATTAAAATCCGGAGTCTGGAAAATAAAACAATTGTTTGACGTACACACTTGTCATCTAGATTACTATCACGGTGGCAATGACTTAAACATTGATTATTTCTCCATTGCCTGGTTCATTGTTGAAAAAGTACGTGTAGTTTCGGAGTACAAAGTGAAGTTAATCCAATATGACATTCTACAGGAATTTTATGTTCTTGTGTCGTATAAAAAGTGTTGGTTAGCTCAGATCCGTGCTACTGAGTTCTTGTATGGTATTTGGGAGAATTCTTACTCTCAACTTCCTATTATGTTGTGCAATTTACAAAATGCTTATCCAGGAACTGTCGTTGATGTTGTCTATGCAACCGAACTGCCAAACCTTAATGCCTCTCCAGAAGAGATCCCGCGCTTTAAGTATGCATTTTTGGCATTCGCTGCGGCAATACATGGATTACAATACTGCATGCCTGTAGTGACAATGGACAGAACTAATTTGTACGAAAAGTACAAGGGTCATCTCCTTCTCGTGGTTGCCATGAATGGCAATCGTAAAATTTTTCCTTTGGCTTATGCGGTTGTTGACGGAGAAACATTTGAGAGTTGGGCTTAGTTTTTTCACCTTCTTGTTCAGAGGGTTATCGGCTCACAACAAGTCTGTATTATTTCTGATAGACATATTGAAATTATTAACTCCTATCGCGATCTTCCAGAACTACAGTCCGGGTTGATAATGAAACATTTTTGTCTTCACCACGTCTGGAACAACTTCATGAAAAAGTTCCAAAAAAGTGATCTTAAACGTTTGGTTTGGGCCACTGGTAGTACACATAATATCCAACAATTTGAATGATATATGGCCAAAATACGAAACATGAGTGATGAGAGATATAAGTATTTAAATGATATTCCCCGTGCGGCATGGACCCTTTGTTTTGGTGGTGGGTATAAGCGTAGGATCTTAACAACAAATAGTTCTGAGAGTTTCAATAATATGCTGAAAGGTTGTCGAATGTTACCAGTCATTGCCATTTTATCCATGTCCCATGCCAAGATGGCTGAATTGTTTGATAAAAGGTACAAATTTGGTGTTCAGTGGCAACAACAAAAAGCATGCACATTACTCTGAAAATTAAAAATGTTTACCTTAATTGGGAGAAAACTAAGCACAAGTGGGCAGTCTCAAGCTACGGCAACAACCAATACATAGTGAGTCACACATCTCGAACACACCCTTCTTCTATTTACAGCTACTTGGTCAACTTGTTCAGTAGTGTATGCACTTGTGGGTAGTAGACTTTTGATACTATACCTTGTGTTAATGTTCATGCTATTTACCACTCTTTTCGACAAGTTCCTCACAATATATTGCCGACTAGGTACTCGGTTCAAAACTATTTGAGTTGTTATAGTGGTATAATTCAACCTGTTCTTTTCCCTTAAAATTTAGATGTTGGCAGCTTTAAAGTTCTACCTCCAAAACGGCCAGCAGACGAGATTCCACGTTCAGGGAGATGTCAACACAATTGATACCAGGGCGAGATGAATTTCAAGGCAAGGATATGATTGTAGTTTAATATTATTTTGTTTGTATCAGTCTATGTATTGTAATTCTTTTTTACTTGAGATGTTGAGAATGTAATTTTCTATTGATGTTTTTAATATATTTGTGTTTTCAAAATAGCCCAATATTCATTTAAAAAGAGGTTTCTCAAAATTATTTAATTTTTTTTGTTTAAAACCGGATATTTCCGATCCAATTTTTTAAACGATTTATTTTTTTCTTAATGAACATTTTTTAATTAAACTTTTGTTTTATTTAAAATGGCTTCATAAAAGCCGATTTTTAAAAATAAAAATGGCTTCATAAAAGCTGATTTTTTTGGACTATTAAATACGGCTTTATGAAAGCCAAAATGTTTTTAAAAATTTTATAATTAGAAACGGCATTATGAAAGTCAATTTCCGCCTCAAGAAAGACTTGTTCTAATTAATCTCTTTGCTAGGGGTGGACAAAAAAACCGAATTAGCATGATACCGAACTAAACCGTAATGGTACTGTACCATTTCGTTTATTTTGAAATGGGATTTGATTTTTTCATCACGAACCGCTCTCAAACGGGACGGGACCGTGATACAAAAATTAAATACCGGTAATCTCAGACTGTTTAAAATTCCATATATTTTGTAAAAATTATATTGGGCTATTAAAGATATTGGGCATTTGAAATCACTAATTTAAAATTTAAGTAGTTTTATTAATTTATTTATTTTCTAGGCTAAAGACCTTAGTGCCCAAAACCCCTAAATAGCCCATGTTGCCATTCTGGGCTTACTCATATGCACTACGGAGTAAAAATGAATTTACTCCTAAATTACAAACTAGCCTCAAAATTCAAAATAGGGCAGAAACGACCGACTGACCGAGCACTCAAATAGGACAGAAACCAAAAGGCAGAGATTGAAGCCTATGAAATTTATTGTTATTGGCAGTAACTTATGTTTTTTGGCTTTAGTATGAATATAAGTGACCTGTGGGTTGACATTGCATTTTTTAATTATTTTCAAGTGTCCATGCCGATTTGAAATCAATACATTTTTTTAAAATAAATTTGTGCGCTTTTATATAGAACTATACTTTTATTTTAATATTTTTTGCGTAATGCATGTTTAATATTTTTTGGCACGGTTTGAGCATGGATATGGTAGTGTACCGTTCCGTTTTAAAATGGAATGCTACCGAATGGTTTTAGGATTCATTCCATACTAATACCGAATCGTTTAAATAAGAGCGATCCGTGATAGGTTCCGATAGTATCACGGATGGTTAGAAACCCTACTCTTTGCGGGAATTAATCCTTTAATATAATATTTGAGAGTTGATAGCCTAGAATTTTGACACGTGGCAAATTAAGGCTTTTATTTTGACGACACGTCGGATGACACGCGTCCTAATTATAGGCGAAGCTCTCCTTCGTCCAGTACCCCGTTCTTTCTCCCCCGACTCTTCGCGCAGAAAGAAGGAAATTTCCTGCAAATCTTCATGCTGAAAAGGAAACAAATATGATTCCCCTCGCTGCGTTGGATCTTCACGGAAGGAATGAAATCCCAGGTACTGCTATACACCTTTCCATTCATGTATTCGGCTACCCCAATTTTTCCCCAATTTTTACCGAAAAATTCTTTGCGAAAATCAAGCAATTTCTCCAGGGCTATTGATCCTTCGCTGAAATCAAGCAATTTCTTGCGTCTATTCTTCTACAATGACTAATTCTTAGAGGGAAAGTCTCCAATTGTTCAAGATTGAGAGAACCCCTTATTGCGCTCGGATTTTTTCGAGGATCCTAAAATAAGGTTTGTTTCCAAAATTTATGTGAAATTGTTATTGAATTGGTAAATTCATTGATCCAAAATACCAGGTTGAATGTTCGATATATACAGTGTAAGATCTTCACCACAAAAAATTGTTAAAACTCATATTCTTGGTCTTCTAGGCTTTTTTCTCCTCTAGGTTTTAATTAACAAAACTGCTCAACTTTCTTGAATGTAGTCACAGAAGCAAGGACGGTTTTTTGCAGGGACTAAGACACTCACTGTAACACCGGTTTGTCTCCAATGTTGTGAAAAAAAACTATTTCGGATCCAAAATTTTTGAAGCGTCAAAAGGAGGTATGTTTCGAAAAATTATATGCATCAATTATTCAAGAACCAAGGCGAATTTATTTTTACATCGCAACCCTCTCTTTAATCTCTGTTCTCTCTTAATTGTGATCCAAAATACCAAAATTGAGATTCGATATTCAATCTGGAAATTTTCTTCGAGGCTGCAATTGCTGTTAATTGGTATGTTTCCAATTTCACATTTAATTGTTATTGATCACCCATTTTATCATGTATATTCTTTGTTTTGTTTCCTTTAATTTGTATGTTTTTTTGTGTGCGATCTAATTGAGCATCTTTCTGATTGAATTCATGCGATTTGCCAATAGCATGTTTCGAAAATTTTTGCTTCCTAATTTCCTTGGCTGAAATTCAAGCCATCATATGAATCGCAAGAATATAAACTGTTGATGTGATTTACTAATTATTTCAGGCTTCAAAACCTTTTGCTTCCTAATTTCCATGGATGAAACTTCTTAAGGTTGTGTTAGTAAATTTTATCATTTTCATAAATAAGAATTTCTGATTCACAAATCTTATTATGTTTTTAGGCTGTTTTTCTCAAGCCTCCCCTAAATATTGTTGGAGGCTGGAGTTTTATATTTGCCAAAGGTAGTCCGCCGTAACACTATGACTGACACCGCTTTAGAATTCTCTCTTCCCCAACATATGCAGCCTCAATCTCAGGTCAGATTCTTCCCCTTTTTGTTCTTAAGGTCAAGTTTGCAATAATTGTATCAATTTTGTATATATAAGAATTCTCACTTCTTAAATCTTATGATGTTCTTGGTTATTTGAGTTCTCAGAGGCTCATTATTTGAAATTTAATATGGTGTGATGCTCAAATTATAATTTGGGATTCCACTAATTATTGGTTTCGAACATGCAATTCGATAATTTTTTTGAAATTTTGATTATTTGATGTGAGTGTAGTGTTGGAGAGAAGATCAATTTTTATTGAAAAGTTCACATATGCAATCCACCATATATTCTCAGTTGAATTTGTTTTGAAATCATATACTTCATATACTACGTATGTTCTTAGAACAATTGGCATTATGTAGCTGTAAATACTCATCTCCAATATGTAGAATTGCCCAAGCAAACTCAGAGTGAAAAAAAGTCAACTATTTACTCTGTATTCTTTTTTTGGTGAAAAATCATTTTCCGTTTCTATTTCCACCCAGAGACCCATCAGGTCAACCTCCAGAGACCCATCCAGACAGGTCAACCTTCCAGTTGCATTTTTATAAATCATAATATAAACTTCAGCGATCTAGCTAATTTCTTTGCTTAATTGATATGTCTTCCAAAATCATTCACCCTTTGATGAAGATCACTCTGACGAGTGAATGTTAAAGAGTTTTGGTTCGAGTGATTCGACTGAATACCTTGCCGATGTACAATGATGACAAGGGGATGAATTCAATTGAGACGGTACTCATGGACGAACACGTAAGTAGATCCTTACATGCGTGTTTCTTTTATTTATTGAACCAATGATTATATAACCCGTGTTTCAAAGTTCTTCTAAATCAATATTTCTGAGTATTTATTGGCGAGTGTTCTTTGTGTTAGATGAATCGATGGTGTGCGTGCTTCAAGTTTCTTTTAGCCAAACAATGAATTTCTAATCTTGAACCAATCAAGTATTTTGCACAGTTGTGTGAATGAGTTGGTTTAGTAAACACGGTTGGTTCAATGAGTTGTCTTTCCATTGTTATTGTTTAATAAAGTGTTTCCAATGTTCTGTTTGTTTCAATTTTCTTTTAACTAATCAGCGTCTTTCCACTCATGAAGCAATTCAGTATTCTGCACAGTAATTTGAGTCAGTTGGTTCAATAAACACAGATGGTTTAGTCAGAACACTGGATTTGTATTGTGTTAGATCTCAGAGTCTTTCAAATTGTATTGTTTAATGAGTGTTATGGTAAGAGTGTTATGGAATTATCTCTAAAATGATTCGTTTAAAGAGTGTTATTGTTTGGTTCAATTGGTGAGTGGTTTGGTATTTGGAGTTTCTTTTAAACCAATGTTTCTGTGCATTTCTTCAACCATGTGTTCTGTGTTTTTTTATTAATTTTCAGTAGTAAAGTAGTGAAGTAGTAATTGTTTGGTTAAATCCCTTTCACTGTTTTTTCAATAGTAAAGTAGTAAAAGGGAAACAACACCTTTAGTCACTATTTTCTCTTTTGAATTTGAGTCCAGAGTTTTGCTTAAACTTTTGAGATGAGTCAGTACTTGCCTTTGCTTATACTATTTTATATATAAATGTACTCCGTATTCTTTTATGTTACTATGGTGAAAAAAGTTGCACTCAATATTTATTATTATATATTTGTTTGACATTGTTAGCTAGGCTATTCAAAAGTAGGTCATACTCCGTAATACTTTTCAGGTTAACTAAACGCAATGTTGGATGGGACTGGGGTGATTCCCCTTAAGAGCCAATTTTAGAGAGGATCTGGGAGAGGAGGGAAATACCATTGCTTAAAGTTCTGTTTAAAAATGAACCCTTCAATTATTATAGTAGTTTTTTTATTCTATTAGGCTAATGTGAGATTTAACCAATATGCAAAGCTGCATTATAGTTGTGTTAAACCTCTAGAAATATGTCACAGCACATGGTGTTTTGTCACTTTTGCACATGGTGTTTTGTCACTTTTGTGGACACACTTTTGAAAACTCTCACCTAATTATCTTCCAACGAAAGGAGATGGTTAACAAGCTCCATGCTTTAGTCAAAGCTTTTTAAGGGTAATAACCAATTTCAAGAGTTTGTAAGTGAAAAAGATGACTAGGATGGTTGTTGACCTTCCCAAAGAAATTCCCGCATCAAACCATCTACCGGTATTGATAAATAAATATTTTTACATGTATTCAGGATAAAGCCATCGGTGTAATTACTAGCGCCGCTACTTATCTTTCAATTAAAATCCATTTTAATCCCAACTTCGACGGGGTCTGAGTATTCAGGACGCACAAGAACTTATCCTTATATTAGAGAGTGGTCGTTTCTCTTAGACGTGTGTTCATTGGTGCATTTACTACTACCCAAGACGTTGCAAGAAGTGAGCTGTTAAATTTAATGTGTCATATTGCTTTAGTTTAGTATTTATCATTGGTAAAATATATACTATTTATTTCAACATATGCTTTGTTATTGCTTTAACTTTTTCTCACTTTGAATGCAAATTAGGGTGTCTTACTGGTGCACAAACCCTTTATGACAACATAATGAAACATGTTTTTCCACATTCGCCTAATAGAGTGTTTTTAAAGCGTAATTAACTCTTTCGATATGGATGTCAAGTACAGTTTATCTTGGAAATGAAAAGTACACATATCAAATAAAACAACTGCTCAATTTTTCTTTGTGGGATAGACAAAAAAGGGAACGGTGGACTGTCATTTTGGGATGGGGATATTAATATGTCTGGAAATGCCTGCACTTAGTAGTCTAACACTTGATGATTCAATTCTCTCCTTTTTCCGGAGAAGCTATTATCATGGGCTTGATAAAGCAAGGTCGGTGTTGGCACATTGCTATATTCTTCCACCCCTATCATGCTTTACTTATCACGGTGATATTGCATACTTCTTTCATTTCATACATACACATAGTATTTGGTCGGGTGTACACCTAGAAATGTATTCACAAATTTCTAATTATTTTTTTTTAGTTTTTGGAATTCATCTTTAGATTTACTTTTATAACTTTTATTCCTTGGCAGATTCCAACAAAAGCAATATCAAATTGGTATGTGTATGGAATCACGCTGAGGAATAACTTTTATTCCATCTACACCATACTCTAAAGTTGGCTATAACAACTACACAATTTAAAATTGTTACCATAGTCCTGTAGCGTGTCACGAACGTAACCAAAATTCCTCAAAATACTAAAGAAACAAAAAGTATACACACACTTACTGAAAAATAATTCAACCCCATTCTCTAAGTCCTTAGTATCTTCAATACGCAAAGACTCCGACACAATAGCCACAAAAAGCATGTATGGTGCACAAGCCCGAGTTTTTATCTCATACGGGAGAGAAGAATCATTGTAGTTTTTTAAAATTAATTTTTTTTATGATAACATCATGTGATCATTTATCCAATTTTTCTATCAATACGGGGTAATTTACCTAAATAATTCTAAAACATAATAACTTTCCCAATGTAGTACCATATGTTTTTATTTTTCAATGTAGTATCACTGGTCATTGTCCATTGGCATTTTTCAAGTAAATATTCAGCGTCGTTACGTTAAACATTGTTAAAACTAAATATCCACTATCACTTGACATTATTTAAGGCATATTTAGAGAATAAAAAAAATTAAGTATTATATTGAAAAATGAAATATGTTTTAGTACTATTTAGTTCAAATTTCACATAATACGGGAGATCGAGAAAAAATATTTTTTTTTGGAATTAATGCGGGGGAATCATGCATTTTTGGTAATGTGAATTAATGTGGCAAGAAGATTTATGTTTTTTTCGAATAGTAATTCGTTGTTTTCTTGATTTAATGCGGAGGAGAAAAATTATAAGATCTTTAATGTTTTTTTTTTTGAATTTATGCGGGGAGAAGAAGTAAATAGTTAAAAAATTTAGTAAACTTAAATCATTTGTACTTTACATTTAAATGAAATGCTTCATTAAAAAGTCAAGTCATTTTACTCCGTACTATTTTATATTAGGAGTGAGCAAGTACCGATCCATTACAGAAAATTTCTGAAAAATCGAGAAAACTGAACCGAAATGATTCTGCTAAAACACCGAACTGTACCAAATCGGTATTCAGTCACGGTCAACTTTGTGTTGCAGTTTTACGAGTGAAAACTAAGAAAGGATTGAAAGTGTTAGCTTTAGATGTCAACAGTAACCTTTACAATTGCACAAAAAATGTGGTTTACCCTGAAGTTTTCAAAAAAATTGGATTTAATTAATACGTTTATATGTTCTTTTCAATTTTTATATACATGAATTTAGGTTAGCATACTATGATTATGTCATACCTAACATTCTATATTATATTTATCTTTATTTTTAAATTATTAACCTAAAATAAAAAATTAGTAGAGTTAAAAATAACATGTGTTTGACCCCGTGCGTGGCACGGGTTAAATACTAGTTCAAATAAATTTAAGACAAGCTATAAGTTCTAGATAGAAGCCGAAAAAAAACTGAAAAATACGAATATAGCTTTCCTACAGAAGCGATCCCGCAAAAATCTAACAGTTCTCAACTCTGCACCATTTCCCTCTCGTCCGTCTTTCCCTAGATTCGAAAATGGTAGCCACCTTTCTCTCAGTCTTCCCCTGCCCGCCAAAACCATTCTGCACTTGGAAATCCTAGTTTCATATTCTACACATCGAATTTCCAATCTCAGCTCCCATTTTCACTGAAGTTCACTGTTATCTGTCGATCTAGGGTTTCAGCTGTTCCATTTCGCGACATTATGATGTCGTCTCAGCCCTCTCCCGGCAAAATCCACCGGTTGGAGCTCGAGAACTTCAAGTCCTACAAGGGATTCCAAATGATTGGCCCGTTCTACGACTTCACAGCCATCATTGGGCCCAATGGATCCGGCAAATCCAACCTCATGGATGCCATCAGCTTTGTCCTTGGCGTCCGGACTGGACAGCTCCGTGGCGCGCAGTTGAGGGATCTTATTTATGCTTTTGATGATAAAGAGAAGGAGCAGAGGGGCCGGAAAGCTTTTGTCAGGTTGGTTTATCAGCTGGCCAGCGGTACTGAAATTCAGTTCACGCGCACGATTACTAGTGCAGGTGGCAGCGAGTACAGGATTGATGGCAGGGTGGCCAACTGGGACGAGTACAATGCCAAATTGAAATCCCTTGATATCCTTGTCAAAGCCCGGAACTTTCTTGTGTTTCAGGTTGGTTTTTTGCATTTGCAATCTTTCTAGCATCTCTTCTGGATATTCGTACTAATTCACCCTGGTATTGTTGTTTACATTAACTTGTTGCCTTTTTAGACTCCCTACTTTCGAGTAGGGGTAAGGTCTGTCTCTGCACACACACCTCCCCCCAAACCCCACTCGGGTGGGATCCAACTGGGAGGTAGTTGTTGTAACTTGGTACTTTTTATGTATATGTATTTATTTTTGTGAAATTGAGCTTTGTGTATGGAGATGAAATTCAGCATGTAAAATTGTAGAAATAGTAAACACGGGAAACCGGCAAACAAATTTTTTTAATTGTAAGTTCAGCTGGAATCAAAGAATAAGTGAATGTTTGAAATTGAGATGTGCTCGATGTAGTGGTTTAGAGGTTTATTTTGTGGTGGAACAATAAAGAAAAATGTCTTTTAATGGGGAGGTCATGCTCAGACGGGTCTATACTCACATAATCCAGGTGTCCTTGTTTTTGGTTCAATGCAGCAAATGAGATTTATGTGCAGCGTGCACTTGTATGCTTAACTAATTATGATGTTATGCAGGGTGATGTGGAGTCAATTGCATCTAAAAATCCAAGAGAGCTAACTGCATTGCTTGAGCAAATTTCTGGTTCTGAGGATTTTAAGAGGAGATATGAGGAATTAGAAGAGGAAAAAGCTAGAGCTGAAGAAAAAAAGGCACTTGCTTATCAGAAGAAGAAAACAGTAACTATGGAGCGAAAACAGAAGAAGGAACAGAAAGAAGAGGCCGAAAGACATCTTCGCTTGCAGAAGGAGCTGGTATAACTTCAGAGTTTTTTTGGGATACATTAGGCTTCAGAGTTTTATAAACCCCTGTTTAGGCGTCACTTGTTGATCTTTTATTAGAAGCAAACACATCAAATGTGACTATATTTTTCATTTGTGTTACACTACTAAGTACTACCTATTGCTGTTTGATTCCTAACTGTTATTAGTGTTTAACTGTTTATAACGAGATTCCTATCGAGTATGATCCAACATATGTTTGAATCCTATCAGTTTCTGCATTTAGAATAAATAATACATAGTACCATGCAAGCTACACCAAGCAGATTAAGTATCATGCTTGTAGTCTCCAACATTTTTTATAATCATGACATATCTGATTTCACCTATGGATGAGTATGTAAGCCTGTGCATTATTCTGATTAATTATATTAAATATGTGTATCTCACCTATGGGTGTAAAATATCATCAATTGACTTGGGTTACATGTTCGGTTTTTTGTTACATTTGAGCATTTGTCTCTGTATCCCGTTATTCCTTAACTTTGGAGAAAACTCTTTATTGGGCGTGGTCAAGGTATTTAAAAGGGGCATTTATAGTTGAGCTCAAAATTGCTTTGGGGAAATGTAGTAGTTGTTGCTAGCTAATATGCCATTGGAGGGTTACAATTCAGATTTCTTAGGCTGATATATGAAGGCATTTACAGTTTATTCTTTAACATTATTAATCCTTCTCTGACCAACTAGATGGCATTTCTGAACAGCCCTTTGTATTTGGTAGGTAATTTTGATGAAGCTGCCATGAAACCAAAAAACTTATAAGCTTTGTAATATAGGGCTGCGGGGAGCTGTGATCAAGTGCTGTTGGTTTTTTTTTTTGGGGTAGATGCTAGAGCTTGTTCTTTGTATTATCTTTTGCATTCTTTTATGCACTTAGCTGTCTGCTCATTGCTCCTTCATTTGTCAAATAATTTTGTCCAAGAACTTGATTTGAAAGCCTTTGTACATATGAAGTTTAAATGAATTTGTTGCTCTAGAGTCTAGGCTGATATCCAACAGCTGCACATGATGCATTTTCCAATGGTGGAAGTTCATCATGTTTTTGGATTCTATTTTTGTTTTGGTTTTATTTTTTTCTGTTGAAGTGGAAGCTAGATAATTTGTTACTGTGCTAAAAGTAGTTACAAGTCAATTTTGCAAGGATGCAGAAGTCTCAAATTTGTTGAACGTGATGATTGCTACCTTCCGTTTATCTATTGCAGAAAAAGCTGAAGCAAGAGTACTTTCTGTGGCAATTGTTGAATGTAGAGAATGATGTAGCAAAATCCACGAAGGACCTTGAAGACGAAGAAATAAGACGAAGAGAAATTGTTGATCAACTGGAAAAGTACGAAAATGAAGCAAGAGAAAAGAAGAAAAAACTAAGTGGATACTTGAAAGAAGTTGCATTGCATGAGAGGAAGGCTGCTGAGAAAAAGAGTAAACTTGATAAGATTGTATGACTACCTAATTTTCTTTTTTTTTCTCTACTTCGTATTTTTTGATTAATTTTTGTGTGCATGGATCTTGATTTAAAGCTATCATCTTAATGCTAAGGATGGATATCTAATCTGAGAAATGAGACCCATTGTGCATGCTCCACTATCCAAACCACTAACCCAGTAGAATCTCACAAAAAGTGGGGTCAGGGGAGGGTGTATCTACACAGACCTTACCCCTACTTGAGAGTAGATAGACTGTTTCCAAGAGACCCCTAGCTTGAGCCTCAAAGAATGCATGGAAAACAAACTACCAAAGAAGAAGCAAAAGCAAACTAAGGACAAAGAAGAGCGTAAAGAGACAAAAAGCACACAAACCGCCTCTAACAACTAGACCCTAAGCACATAAGCTCACACAGACAAGAGCAAAATCTACCACCAAGGCCGAGACAACTACTCACACATACTCCACTATCCATTTACTAAATTAAGTGAAGAGCTTTTTAGACTTTTGTGAAACTGTGCATTAACTGAGAACCTTTGAATGCTTAATGATTTTGTGAAACTGTGCACTAATGCATTAACACATGGACATGCATTATTTTTCCTTTCTACAGCAAGGAGTTTTTAGACTTTTGTTAGACGATGCATCAGCCTCACAGTGCAAATTCTAAGGCGTTATTTGCATAGCACATTTTCAAACTAAAATTTTTTTTAGTGACGTAGTGTCTATGAGTTTGAACTTGTAATAACAATGGCAACAAGCCAACACCAATAATATTTGTGATCATTTTGTTTGCATAGCAATCTGAAGTTGTAAAAAAGAAGGAAGAAGCATCTCGCATCAGTTCAAAAATTAAAAGTACGAGTAAAGAGATAGAAAAGAGACAAGGAGAAAAGAAGAAACACGCTGAGGAGGTACAGAGACTTCAGAGAGACCTGAAGGATATTAATGATCAACTGGATAAGTTGCGTCAGAAAAGTCACGATGCTGGTGGGAAACTTCAATTAGCCGACAGTGAGTTGGCGACATATCATCAAATGTGAGTCCTGCTTTTTGTTTGTTATATTATGAGTTTATCATGCACAGGTAAACAGTTGTTTTTAGTCTTACTACAATTACCTCTGAAACGTGAGAGATTGGTTTTCATGGGCTATTAAGATGATCCAATATGTTTTGAAAAAACTTCTAAAGTCCTCTGTATTATGTAGTAATATTTTATTGTCTTAATAGAAGTGCTATGATTCTAATACCCTCGTCCCTATAAAACTTCACCTTTTCCTTCTTGGATCGCACTACACTAAACTCATCTTTCCATGTTTGATTAAAAAATGAGTGTATAAAGCCAATTCCACCCCACTTTACCTAAAGACTGC